AGTTTTTAGCGGATTTGGTGACTTAGGCAATTTAAAAATGAGCTCGGTGCCGAAATTTCTGGAGTCCAAACGGCATTAGCCCTCGCTAAAATTCCACAATCGTTAGCGACCGGCACCGATCGATATCCATCCACTTTGGCGCGCTCCTGATTTGCCGATCGTTCGATCTGCGCAATCGCTAGATCGATACCTATACATTCCTCGTCGCGCAGTTCCTCAAGTCGACGTCTCTCCTCAGTCACAAAGTAAGAAAGCGGCTGAAAGTTGAGACTTGGGACGAGGGAGGATCACGGTCTGAGTGTCGTAGTCGTATGCGACACCCCCCTCCAACTATGATGACGCCAAACGCTCTGTAACGTGTGTGGGAGTGCGTTCATGCCACGTCTTGAGCGTATGGCGCGTTTTCAGCGGCTACTAATGATCGTTTTGGTTTGGAGAGAATGCGGAATTTGGGATTAGTAGACTACGCTCGGGCAGTATCTTCGCTTTCCTAGTTGCTAAAAACGCTCAAGCGTTAGGCTGCGCTCGAAACGCTGACTCAAACCGTGAGCGCACTCCTATGAATGAAGAAATCGCTCATAGTGCAGTATTCGTAGTAGAAAGGGCGCTAACGACGCTGGAGTGTACCATGCGGCGGCTCTGGTCATCGGCGCTGTGCTCAGCCTGAGCCTTGGGATGGAATGATTCTGTATTCCGGCGAGAGGAGGAAGGAGCACACTTGATCAGAGTCGCCCCACCCCGGAAACGTGGCCCCCTCTAACTGTGTTATCTTGTTCTGTTTTGTAATGAGAGTATAAGAGCTTTCATCTTTCTCCCATTACTGCTCATTTCAGAGCAATTCAACTTCGATAATACGCAAGCTTCCCGCACAATGTCCAGCGCACAAGCGCATTCCACTCCTATGGGACAAATGGCGGTTCCTCCTTCACCGTTCGTGTCGCCTATGGTTTTTGGAGCCCAACCACCGCCACTTTTCAGTACGGTAGGACCGCCTCCGTGTGCTACGCCTTTCAATCCTGGCATGAACATGTAAGTTTTTAGAGCTTATCACGATATCTCTTACATTCTCCTCTGATAGGAGAAGAATGAACCCCTTAACTATGTTTTCCAGGTCTGTGCCTCCTGTACCTTCCACTGCATACCCAGATGTTGGGTTTGATACAAACTCTAAAGACCCCGTATTGATGAGGTCACGAGTCTTTATAGGACGCCTTTCTGGTACCCCAATCACACGCGATGATCTTATTGGCATTTGTAGGCCGTTTGGAACTGTTCTTGCTCTCAATCATTTCAAGGTTCATTCAAGTATATTGATTAGTAATCATCCAGAGGTGGTCATTTCTATTTTCAGCAAGGTTATGCATTCGTACAGTTTTCCATGGCCAGTGAAGCTGATGCTG